CAGAGCCAGCGTCATTAAGAACAACAGAGATACTCTGGATGTGTCGCTAGTGTAGACGCTTCGCGTATTCCCACCAGAGAAGGAGGAATGGCGAGGAAGAGAGGGAGAAATGGGATGATGAGGAGGAGGGGTGGGGCGGAGACAGGAGGAGGAAGAAAAATTGATCACCGGGCCGGTGGACCGGCAGACCGGCGGACCGGTGGACCGATGGACCGGCGGACCGGTGGACCGGCGGACCGGTGGACCGGCGGACCGGTGGACCGGTGGGCCGCCGGCGGACCGGCGGACCAGCGGACCGGCGGACCGTCGGACCGGTGGACCGGTGGACCGTCGGACCGGTGGAGACTGCATGGTGGACCGGTGGACCGGCGGACCGGCGGACCGGCGGACCGGCGGACCGGTGGTCCAGCGGACCCGCGGACGGGCAGACGGGCGGACCAGCGGACCGGTGGACCGGCGGACCGGCGGACCGGCGGACCGGCGGACGGGCGGACCGGTGGACCGGTGGACCGGTGGCCGGTGGACCGGTGGACTGGTAGACCATGGACCGCGGCGGACCAGTGGACCAGTAGTGGACCGGTGGACCGGTGGACCGGCGAATGTTTTCCACCATTCTGGCACGCGGGGGGCGCAGGCGTCCGCGCCAGCTATTCGGCCCGCAGCCCTCAGCTCGCTTGGGCCGAGGTGGCTGATGCCGTCGAGAAGCCTGCTGGTCGCTTGGGTTCTACCCTGAAAGGGTGCATCTGCAGCGAAAGCGATTGTCGGCAGCAGCGCTGGAAGCGACAATGATTCGACAACTGAAGAGGACACAGCGATGAGACGCCCTTCCCTTTGCCAACGCAAGTGCGACTAACATGTTTTCTCTGGGCACAAGATCTCGTAGCCAATGCTGTCGCGCATCCTTGGCCGCGCGACGCGCAGCCCAGCGCGTCGAGGGTGCCTCGAGGCAATGAGTGGCTTCCGGTCGTTTCCATCTACTACGCGCCACTGGGGGCCCGCGAGCGCCCCCGAGCTCGCCTCGGCAAGCTCTGGCGCCCGCCCAGCCAACGCCGGCGCGGCGCTCAGCGCCTGTGCGACCTCGGCCCCCGGCGCCCTGTCTCGGGGCGCCCCTGCCGCAGCCGGCGGCCCTCGGAAGCGAGCCCGCTCTGACAGCCGCCCGTGGGCCGCGACGTCAGCAGGGGCCCGCTCCGCCTCCGCGACGCCGCGCCCCTAGGGCGAGGCGTCGTAGGCTGCGACCGTCGGCGACCACTTCTTACGCACGTCGCCGATCGACGACGCAGGGCAGGAGAGACAGCGCCCAGACCGGCCCGACCCGGACACTGACCCACAGCGGCCAGCGCTTCTGTTCCGACGTCTCCGCGAAAGTGTAGCACGCAGAGAGCATGGCCAGAGACTCCCGCCTCAGCATGCAGGCGGCCACGATGTGCCCCAGGATGCGCTCCAGCTCGAGCCCAGTCACCCTGAGGCCCTCGGCGTCGAGGAGATAGTCCAGCGACCGCATCGGTCTGCAGAAGCACGTGGGCCGCGCTCGCCACCTGCCAGACAGACGATCCATCTCGCAGCCAAGCGGCTCGGCCTTGTCCCCGGAGCAGACCTCGACGGCGCTGACCACTCCGCGCACCGCCAGGGCCTCCTGCATGACCCGCGCAGCCCCCTCGGCGCGCCTGGTCTACGCAGGCGACGGCAGTGCTATCGACGCAGAGCGCCTTGGCATCCTCAGCCCCCAGGTCGACACCAGGGCGCTTGTCAAGAACCCAGCGCCCTCTAGCCAGGGCGCAGTCTAGCACGCGCAGGTGCCATTGCTGGATCAGGCGGACTGCCCAAATCCATCCCATAGGAACAACGCGAAACCGAAATCGCGCTGTACTCGAGTCGCGCTGGATGCCGAGACGCCGGCGCAAAGCCACAGGTAGGTACTGCCCCTTCACTGACGACAGCGTGAAGTAGCCCATCAGCCACTCTGGCAGCTCGTGCTGGTAGAAGCACACCTCGACACCACCTGCGCTGAAACCCACTGCTCCAGACTCGTGGTGCTCGATGGCCGTCATGGCCCTGGGGTCGGCGAGCTCCGCGTGCTCAGGCTCAGAAAAATTAGCCTGGCGAAGGACCCAACCATATGCAGAAGCGAATGCCGCATTGTGGGTGCCGCTTTCGGTGGGGCCCCCATATGGGGCCACGAAACGTGCGAGGGGCGCGCCGAAATCGGTGGCGCGGACGCATGTGAACACCGCCACTGGGGACTTCGGTGGAGCTCCCCATGGAGCCACGAAGCGTTGTCCTGTGCGGGGGAGACGCATGCGAACTGCGACATTGGGACCTTCGTCGGAGCTCCTTATGAGGCCACGAAGCGCTGTCACCGGCGGGGGAGACGCGTGCGAATTGCGCCGCTGCCGCCTTCGGTGGAGCTCCCTATAGGGCCACGGAACGCGGCCCTGGGCGGCGCTGATGCATGCGAACGGCGTCACCGGGACCTTCGGAGGAGCTCCTATGGGGCCACGAAACATTGTCCCAGGTGGGGGAGACGCATGCGCACGGTGCCACTGGGGCCGTTGGTGGGGCCCCCTGTGGGTTCACGATGCGCTGTCCTAGGTGTGTGTGTGGGGGGGGGGGGGGGGGGGCGGGGCGCGTGCGAACGATGCCGCTGGCGCCTTCGGTGAAGCTCCCTATGGATCCACGGCGCGCTGTCCCGGGCGGGGGAGACGCATGCGAGCGGCGCCGCTGGGGTCTTCGGTGAAGCTCCCTATGGGGCCACGGAGCGCTGTCATCGGTGGGGGAGACGCATGCGAACTGAGCCACTGCCGCCTTCGGTGGAGCTCCCTATGGGGCCACGAGGCGCTGTCCTGGGTGGCGTTGAGGCATGCGAACGACGTCGCTGGGTCCTTCGGTGGAGCTCCCTATGAGACCACGAAGCGCTGTCCTGGGTGGCGTTGACGCATGTTGGCCCTGCCACCGGAGCCTTCGGTGGAGCTCCCTATGGGGCCAGGAGGCGCCGTCCTGGGTGGCGCTGACGCGCGCGGACGGTGAAGCTCCCTATGGGGCCACGAAGCACTGTCCCAGGCGGGGGAGACGCATGCGAAGGGTGCCACTGGAGCCTGGCAGAGCTTCCTATGAGGCCACGGAGCGCTGTCCTGGGTGGCGTTGGCGCATGCGGGCGTCGCCGCTGGCGCCTTCGGTGAAGCTCCCTATGGGGCCACGGAACGCTGTCCTGGGTGGCGTTGGCGCGCGCGGGCCCTGCCGCTGGGGCCTTCGGGGGGGCTCCCTGTGGGCCCGCGGAACGCTGTCCTGGATGGCGTTGGCGCGTGCGGGCCCTGCCGCTGGAGCCTTCGGCAGAGCTCCCTACGGGGCCACGAAGCGCTGTCCGGGGTGGCGTTGACGCATGCGGACCCTGCCACTGAAGCCTTCGGTGGAGCCCCCTGCGGTGCCGCGAAGCGCTGTCCCGGGCGGGGAGACGCATGCGAACGGTGCCACTGGGGCCTTCGGTAGAGCTCCCCATGGGGGCACGGAGCGCTGTCCTGGGTGGCGTTGACGCATGCGGGCGGTGCCACTGGAGCCCTCGGTGGAGCTCCCTATGGGGCCGCGAAGCGCTGTCCAAGGTGGCGCTGCCGCATGGGGGCGGCGCCGCTGGAGCCTTCGGTGGAGTTCGCAATGGGGCCGCGAAGTGCTGCGGCGTTGACGCACGCGGGCAGCGCCACTTGAGCCTTCGGTGGGGTTCCCTACGGGGCCAAGAGGCGCCGTCCTGGTGGCGCTGGCGCATGCGGACCCTGCCACTGGAGCCTTCGGTGGAGCTCCCTATGGGGCCACGAGGCGCCGTGCTGGGCGGTGGTTGACGCATGCGGGCGCCCCCACTGGAATCTCCGGTGGAGCTCCCTACGGGGGGAGGGGGGCGGGCGCGAAGCGCCGCGCTGGGCGGGCGAAACGCAGGGAGGAAGGACGGGGGGGGAGGGGGGAGGAGGGGGAGGAGGAAGGAGGCGGGGGGAGGGGGAGAACGCGGGGCGCCGTCTCGTCAAAACGAGGACGCCAACACCACAGGATGGTTGGGAAAGAATGTTGGCGGCACGTGTGTCAGCGATCAAGTGTAGCTTGTCGTCTTTGCGCTGCGCGAAAAAACAAGCCCATCTCCCCCTTCGGCTCCTCGCGGGTTACCTCCGCCACGCAGGCGTCGAACAGCTCCGACATAGCGCGGCCAAAATTTTACCCCAGACGAGCCAACTTAGGATCAAGGCAAGGCAAGTTATCTTCAGTCGATTCGGGCATGATCTGAACATGAGCTTGAACGCGCAGATAGTGGCCCGTTTCCAGCATGGTGCACGGCGGCTCTGGCAGGATAGAATCGAGCTCCACGTGGCCGGCGCCGCCGACGGGCTGGGACATCCTGCCTGGCTGGTAGACTGCCCTGCTGCCCTCCGACTCAGCCTCAGAGTAACCGGTTCAGAGGCCTTGCAACGTCGTCTACGAGGCATAAAGATCACGGTGCGAATCTGGGAAGCTCGCAGACCCGCACAAGCCAGCAAGGCGGCGAACGGCATCGCCTTGGGCTCCACTCAACTCCGCATCATGAGCGTCTCGCCGCCCCTGACCCCCCAGCGCATTTAAACTGCGAGGTCCATCCCGCAACCACTTTTCTGCCGATCGCGCTTCGCACCTTGCATGACCGACGCTGGAGAAGAGCCGAGCGGCGTCGACCCCCGCAGCGCAGCATCGAGCCCGGCCCCGACTGGGATGGGAAGAAGGTCACTGGACAGAAGCATCTGGCCCACGAAGCACAACTGCAGCGCGGGGTAGTCCACGGGCGCCTCCCCTGAATTGAAGGCAGCCGGTCGGGGGGCCCCACCTTCCTTCCGTGACGCGCGCGCGATGCGACGGCGCGCCCGCCCCCGCCGCCTCCGCCCAGAGGCTTGGGCTTCCTCTTGGACTGGGCCTCCGCCTTCGCCTCGGCCCCCTGGGGATGCGCGCCGCCAGGGGCGCTCGGAAGCAGAGCAGGGGCCGCGCGCGTGCGGGGCCGGCGCCGACGCGCCAGCTGGGCCCACGCCGTGGGCCAGCAGCTTCTCCTCGCGACCATTCCTCCGCCCCTGCAGGATCGCCGCCTCATTCTGCGTCCGCTCCGCGACCCACTCCTTCAGCTGCGGGTCCACGTGCGCGGAGCCGCGACCCTTCTTCTGACCCAGGAAGATCTCGCGCTCGTCAAGCCAGGCTGCCCCCCCCGCGCCGCTGCCGCCCTCGGCCTCGCGTAGGGCGGTGCTGCGCACCTCCTCCCAGAGCGGGTAGCGTCTGCGTACCGTCTCGCTCAGCACTTGGCTCGGCAGGCACATCTGGTCGATCTGACCACCGACCTCCAGCATCTCGCTCAGGGGAGCGCGCTCGTCCACCCCGGGGTCTTCGGCCGTCAAATTCTGGACCTGCCGCCACCGGCGGTGTCGCTTCACTGGAGTCGGCCCCAGCATCACGAGCTGCTGGAGCAGCCAGGCACGCGTTCTTGGGCCAGCAATGGACCAGCCTGCGACATCAGCAGATCGCATGCCCCGCCTGGCCTCCACGAGCGGCCTGGAGTTCTCGCCCATGACATCCGTCATCACGGCGAGTGCAGATGTCGGTCGCTCGCGGCGTCGCCGCGGACACCGCCCCTGGCTCAGCCACCGCAAGCGTCGCGCCATCCGCCATCTCCAGCAGCCCTTTGCCGCCGAAGGCGACGTTGGGTCGAACTCGTCGAAGTGCATCTCCAACCGCGTAACCTGCTCGAGCTTCTGCGGCCCCCCAGTCACCAGGCGGCGCCTCGCTACCGATTCCGCCCGCGACGACCGCAGGAACTCCCGCGGCGGCAGCTAGCGCGACGACGCCGTCAGCACTATCGCCAGCTCCCAGAATCGGAGGCTCAGCAAGACTCTCCGCGCGCCTGCTATCTCGGGCGCGCTCTCGGGCCTCGCGCTCCAGGTCGGCCTGCCTCACCGCGAACTCGTCTACGTCAATTCTCAACGCGCGACTATAGATCTGACCAATGCCACCCTTCGGCCCGACAGGCCGAAGATCCCGAGCCTCCTCGAAAGCTTCATCGTACAAGTCAGACGAGGTGTCACCATCACCCATGGAGATCCTCCGAAGGGCCCCAGCAATATGCGCCCATGCCAGCAAAAATCGCCCTGATCGTAGAAGGTGAGGGCCCACGCGATATTCCCGGGAGGGCGAGCGTACTCAATTTGTGGTTGATATTCGGCGGCGTCGCGTCTACTGGTGACGAGGCTCACTCCGCGTCGCTTGAACAATTTGCACAGTGGGCCGAACTCCTGCGCCGCACTCCCAGAGATGATAGCGAGGCACACAACGCTGAGCAGGGCGCACCAGTCGACCGAACTCCACTGACAACCAACAGTCTCGCCGGGCGCTGGTCGCAACAAGTTCTCGGGCCCGCGCCGACCCAGCTGTCTCTGAAGCAGCGCTACGAGGCCTGCGTCCAAGCCGGCGCCTTCGAACTTGCGCACGCACGCACACGCGCGCGCTCGGTAGGCTTGCGCGGCCTCCACCGCCAATCCAGACACCCTGGGCGTGGCCGAACACACTAAAGCCCCAAAATGTGGCTTGGCCGGAGATTCGCCCCACAATCTCGGCCACGTGCCACCTCCTGGCGGAAACAGAATTAAGAAACAAGCGGCGACATATCGAAGCGCTAGTCATTCGCGTGCCTCACTTACAAGACGGGGCCCAAAACTTTTAGAATAACGTTGACCAAAGCAGGGCCCGAGAAGTGAGCTGTTGCACTGCGCGCGTGGGGTGCATTGTATGTCGTGCAAGCTATGCGGTGGAAGGTACGTTGTGTAATATTGGCGGTGTGAGCTAGTAGGCGGTGCGAACTGTGTTGTGTATGCGATGTTGCGTAAGATCTTCGGTGTGAAGCTCACGGTGTGACGTGTACCGTGCAAGCTATATGGTTGAAGCTACGTTGTGTCAACTGTATGACGTGAGCTGAAGGGCGTGAGCCATATTGTGTGCGTGCGTGCGGTGTGAACTATGTAGTGGGCGCTAAGCTGTGCAACGTATGCTGCGCGAGCTATGTTGTGCAAGCTATGCAGCGTGGGCTATGTGGCATGAGCTACGCGTCGCAAGCTACGCGGTGCGATATATGCGGTCTAAGCTATGTCGTGTGAACTATGTGCCGCGAGCGGGCATGGGCGCCGACGAGACGAACCCTCGGGGAACCCAGCAAAGCGCGAGGCGCCCACGAGCTGGCATGGGCGCCAACGCGGCGAATCCCCAGGGAACCCACCCAACCCGCGGGGCGCCCACGAGGCGCTGCGAGCGGGCACTGTCGCCCAGGAGGCGAAACCTCGGGAAACTGACCCAGCGCGAGGGGGGCCCACGAGGCGCCCGCGAGCGGAAAGGAAAAGACACGGAGAGGAAGAGTGAGAAGGAGAGACTGTATCCGATGATGAGATCATCTGCAATATGCTAGCACCGCCATCCGCAGGCTCAGGCGGGGCTGAACATCCACCGTACCGCGAGCGTCAGCGGGCGAGCTGGACACAAAAAGAATGGCTCGAGGCCTCGGGGGGCCATGGTGGCGGGGGGCTGAAGCATGGCGCAAACTATCCCGACAGCATTCAGCACCGTCGGAGTGGCATGTGCCTCTCTGGCGCGCGAACAGCTGAATACTCAGCAGTAGCGCGCTACCTCGAGATGTCGAGCTCTTGCCGTCGACAGGACAAACTATAAAACAATCAGAAAATGAGGCCGACAGCGGACGGAATTGCACTTGGCAAAAAGCTGTTGCACGGACGGCCTCTGGAAGAGTCGGGGGGGGGGGAGCGCATTTGACGCAGCGGTGATCCACCGGCGCTTCCCAAACGCAGTATCCGCGAGCATAGCAGCCGCCCTTGCCTTTGCGGTTCGATGGCCACTGCTGTCGGGGAACGTGCGACGGGGAGATTTTGTTCGCCGGCGTCCTGGCCACCTCGCCTCCTGCGAGGGCGTTCGCGACGTTGCTTTCGGCCTCCTCCCTGCTTGCTGCGTTGGGGGTCCGAGCCTTGGGGCCGACGACGGCCCGGTTCCAGCTGGCCCCCGAACGAGAAAGACCATCGTGAAAGTCCACGGCTGGGCGACTCGACAGGCGGAGTCGATCGGGCACTCGCGTGACCCCTCAGCTTCTTGAACTCATCCATCTGGGATGTGTGACTTGAGGGCCGAAGCAACGCGCTCGCCCTGCGGGCGCAGCTCGAGCTCCCTCTCACGGCAGGCCTTGTCATGTAGGAAGGCGGCGTGCTCCTTGTTTCTGCTCTCCAGCTGCGTGCCGAGGTCCGAATTAGCACGGCGGTTGGATAATGAGTCTTCGCCAACGGAGCTCGCGCGGCAGTTGCGGTCACGGTCGCGATCGCGATCCCATTGGAGCTGGAGCCTCGGCGGCGGCCCCGCGCATCTCGCGAGTCATCTTGGCGGTCGCAGTCTCGACCTCAGTGCCCGTCACAGTTGCTGTCGCGACGCTGTCGCTCGTCGCAATGGCGGCGCTGGTCCAGCATCTGGCCGCCCGAGCTGCCCCGCCGGTCGAGCCCGCGGCCCCCCCCCCCTCTCGTTGAGGCCCTGGCCCCTTTTCCCCGTGGTGACCATGGGCGCGGAAGCGAAGATGGCATTGCCGAGCGCGAGGAACTCCCCGGACCCTCTGAGCAGGAGTGCCCCACAGAGCTGAGCGGGCTGCTGCTACGTTCAGCCCCGTGGGGCAGCCCAAGAAGAACAGCTCCAGCACCTAGTCGAGGGCCCAAGCCTTTCTAGCCCCAATGGTGAGGGAGAAGCACTGGGCCCGTGCACACCTACTCGTGAGGAGGGGGACCAGCATGGCAAACTGACGAGGCGCTTGGCCTGGCCACTGGGTGATGTTCGCCCTCCGTCGGGCATCGATCTCGCCCGAGAGCCAGGCCCTTGCGGGGCCCTTCAAGGAGACGACCAGCGCGGCCCCCGCAGCGCGCGACTCCAGATCCACCCTCGTGCACGGGCCCACTAGACCCTCGATCGCCAGAGCAAGGCTGGGGCGTATCGGCCGACTTGCGCTAGGTAAGCGCACGTGCATGTGCGGCAGTCTGTGCTCAGACTTCCCACGTTGCCCGCGCAGCGCCGCGGGCCCACTGGTGGGCCCACTTGTCCAGGCAACCGCCGAGAACCATAATCACCGAAACTCACCTCATCACGGAGGGCCTGCCGTTCAAACCGACGCATCGGGGCCGATCGGGCAGCTCCTGACAGCGCCCCTTCAATCGGCAAACCACGCGTTCCATGCGCGATGCCGCCTAGCGACGCCAGGGAGGTCCAAGAGAAATCGGCCAGGTCCCGATGGATGGTCGCCGCCGCGATCTTGAACCAGCCTGGCGGTGTTGAGCCCTTCCAGGGCCGAATCTGGGGAGCAGTCGCCTGCTTCGCCAGGGTCGCGCCCGCGCCGCCTTCTCGAACGACCTCCCAAGCGACCCCCGCCCATGCCTGAGAGACTGTCGGTGCGCAGCGTTGCTCGAACGCATGGCCAGCATCTGCTGCACTTACTAACAATGCCGAAATGAGAAGGTTGGTGACGACGGAGTGCATCAGCTGCTTGGATTGCGTCGGAAACCTCACTGCTTCGGCCATTCCTCGACAACATATCCCAAACCGCTCCCCGAATGATCTCGAACCCATGCGATCCTAGTGCCGCCGAGCAATTGATGCCCCCCCTGAGACATGAGTGCAAGGGCTCGCGGCACGTTGCCTCTCCTGATGGGGCAATTCCCTCCACCGCTGGGAGAACGCATGGAGGGCGGGTGTGCGCCGACATGGGCAGGAGGAAGCGTGGCGCGCATGGCCGCAGCGGGCGCGCCGCCACAGCGCGCCCACGCAAACTGCTGCATCGCGAGGTAAGATGTCCAGCCGCATCTTCCAGTCTGGATCGGAAGTGGCCAGCTGGTGGAGGAAGCGCATCATGTCGCAGCCTTCGCGCGGCCGCACCTTGTCGCTCTCCTTGACGTCGGCAACGATGACGCATTCATCGGGCTCCTCTAGCTGGGTCTTCATGCCGCCCTGAGCCACAAGCCACTGCTGGGGAGCCTCGCGAGGAACAGTCCACGGATTCCACGCCCACTCCCGAAGACGCCGTAGTCCGCGTCGCAGGACTCGCTGTGGCATCGGAACTGGCGATGCCCACTGACGCAGCGCAAAGCGAGCCTCCGCCTCCGCCCCAATCAGATGGGGCCACGCTGGCAAACTCCAGGGGCCCCTGAAGAGGCGGAGTCCCCGCGGGGCTGGTGGAGGTTCCCGAGGGGGGCGAGGGAGAGCCTGAGAGACAAAGCCGGTACAGAAACTGCCAGTCGAAACGTGGTTGTTCCAGCCGGGCTCTTTCGCACAAGTCGCTTTCGGCGGTGAGCTAAATTTCTCCCCTTCCGGGCGCGTTTCGTTGATCTGCCCATGTAAGTAACTGCTGAACTGACCCTCGCGCGGTACTCCCGAGGGCAGCTTGTGCACGGAAGCGCGCGGGCTGGGGAGCTGAAGGCGTCGAAAGTGGAGGTCGATGCAGTGCGCGACCGTCCTCTGGCGATGAAGCGAACGGAGGAAGACAGGAGCCACCGACGTTACCAAACATAGATGGGCGACAACCTCCAACTTTGTCCAAGTGCGAAATACTGGATGGTCACGCCGCTGCCTGCCGATATGGCCAGCACGAGGCCCAGCAGCTGGCTCTCGACGAGCCACAAGGGCGCCTCCTGCTGCGCGATGTATGGCGTTCTGCCTGCTGGAGTCGGTAGAGCGCGGGGCACGGGGCAGTTTCGCTGAGCGCACCAGGGTAAGCATTGCGAGCGTCTTGTTCGGTATCAGGAGGCACCTGGAGCTGGACTGCATCGGGTGTAGCCGTCGTCCAAGCTGACTGAGACGTGGCTGCTCTGGGTCCTCTCCGCCATTGTGGTGGCGTCCTCCGCTGGGCCCGTTGCGACTTCGTCTTCGCGCGCAAGGCGCCTTGTTCTCATCGACTGCTAGTAGCTTCTGTCTCTACGGCGTCAGGATGATTGCATCGATGGGTATGCCGACGAATGGCCAACGCCTCATAATTGAAATTGGCCTGTTCGGTGCGGACCAGCATCACTGGCAGGAATAATAAGGGGCCCAGGCTGCGGCGAAGAAGGCGGCAGCGTGGCAGACGAACAGGGACCAGGGCCAATATGAGGATGGACAACCGCTCGGACGTGTCCGGCGAATCGGCCGAACAATCGTGCCAGGACACCCTCACGCATGAGGGCCTTGCCAACGCAGATGCGTCCATGGCTGCCGAAAACGTAAACTGCTGCTCGAACGCCCGTGGGCAGCTGACCGAAGAGACAGAATAACATCTTGGCAACCGACGGCAGTTCCCAATCGTCGATGGCAGCACGAAAGTCGGGAGCGATCATGCTGAAGACTTGGCGATCCCATCTGGGAGCCGTCCTCTGAGCTCCAGCGTGCCTCAGACGGAGTATAGAAGCAGTCGGGGTTGATTGGATAGGACACGTGAGAGGACGACAGACCTCTCCGAGGGCCACGTTGCCATTATAATGCAGAAGGCATGGGTCGAACAACACAGGGCAAAAAGGTACCCTTGAGTTGGCAAGGTCGACCTACTAATCAACCTCGGCTGTAACATGGTCAGAATAGTGCTGATGATACTCCGCAACACGCCACGGAGAGGGCAGAACAGTGGCCCCGCTGGGCCAGCAATGAACTCCATGAAGGAGGAGAGGAAGCTGACAAGCCTGGGGATGGCGTGTCGATGGTTTCTCTAGGTTGCACCCATAAGCTAAGGGCGAGTGCTGCTTGAAAAGGATATCGCGAATTATACAGCAGGGTAAACACCGAATCGTAGTCCTGGATCTGATGCAAAGGGAACGCCCATCGGGCCATATTCCACTGACCAGGTTCCGTTGGAGGACGAGCTCGAGGCCTGGTCCGAATCGATCGGGCCGAAGTCCATTATCCCGTGCATGGCCGACATGTCGATGTCGTCCTCCGACGCGGACCTCAACAGGCGAGGCGAAAACTTTTGTTTGTCTTGGATATCCTTCTCGCGCATGGCGCAAAGGTGAACCTCGCGCAAGATATTCACCCATCCCTGATAAGAAGTCGCACTAGAAGATGCGGACCCGGTGGAGTCGGACGATCCACTGGGGGCTTGGTCCAAGGAACTTGCCAGTGAGCACACGGTCGAGGTCGAGAACCCCGATCAGTGTCGCCATCAGGGATTTGGCAAGAGGGTCGTAGGAGTGGCTGAGCTATCGGGCACGTTCAGTGCCAAGGGGACGACAGACGTAACCCAGAAAAGGCACCCCTTCTCGAGAAAAGACGCCTGAACTTGGATTCCCCGTCGCCACGCAGGCCGAGTTTAAACATAACGAGAGAAACAACATAAAATGTATCCGATGATGAGATTACCTGCAATCTGCTAGCACCGTCGTCCGCGATCAAAGGCCAGGGTGACCATCCGACACTCGGTGAGCGTCAGTGGGCGAGTTCGATCCCTGAGAATGACTCGATCAAGAAACGGCCACGCAACATACAAGCATCACGCAAGAGAGTGAGGTATAATATCTATGCCCACATATATATAGAGAGAGATAATAGAATCGCGTTGGGTGGATAAGCTCTAGAGGGCGGGAGAAAGGAAGCGAGAGAGCGAGAGAGAGAGAGAAGGGGAGAGAAAGAGAGAGAGTGAGAGAGACAGAGACAGAGAGACGGAAACAGAGAGCGGGAGGGAGACAAGGCATTGCCCCCCAGCTGCTGTTTTTTTTGGTGCGTCCCGTCGCAAGCACCCGGGCGGGCTGTCGCCCCCCGTCCAGGTTTTTAGAAACACCTCCCTGATGGACACACCCCAGGTGATGCGTTCTACACCTCCGGTCGATACGCCTGGCCATGGTGAACGCCATACCTAAAGCAGGTCTGGTGCGGCGGCGGACACAGAAAGAGAGATATAGAGAGAGAGGGAGAGACAGAGGGAGAGACAGTGGGGAGAGAGATCTGGCTAGTGCGCCAGGCCTACTACTACTGCTATTCGGACACCGCTTCCGCAAGACCAAGAGCGTTTATGAAAGTGTATGGCACGTGCACCTCGCACGGACACTGGACACATTAACGGTGTGAGGAGGGCGAGGTGGAGGGGGAACGGGGAGGGCGTGTTTCCCACCACAGTTCTGCACCATTCCTTCTGGACTGACGTGATCTTCTTGTCGAAGGCGTCGACCAAACTTACGGAGATGGCCTGCAAGCTCAAGGCCGGGGGTGGAATGGAGAACGCTATGAAATCGCGTCCTGAGCAAATTCCGAGTTTTGTGGAGACTCGCTTGCAGCGGATGCGACACACAAAAGCGCCTCATTACAAACCTGGTGAACAATCGCGCGTTTCGCTCACGCTTGAGTCCGATCCAGCTGGGCGGCCAGTGTATGGTGCGGAAGAAGAATCGTGCTGAATTCTCTGGAACCGTAGGCTTCGAAACAACTGAACTCGTTGCTGGAGGGGTCGGGGGGGCGGGGTTCAGGGTGGTGGGTGAACGTGAACATAAGAAGACATACGTGCAAGCATATGTGTCACCCGCTGCTGTCCACCCCCCTTGCTCCTGCGCCTTCTGCCCGCCAAGGGTAGGATCATGAGGGAGGGGGAGGGGGAGGCAAGGCAGGGGTCAAGGAAGGGGGGAGGATGGAGGGGGAGGGCGAGGAAAAGGATGCTGTTGACGACGACGATGATGCTGACGATAACAGCCATAATGATGGTGACGCGGAGGAGGGAGGAAGGAGACAACATGTGGGAAGATGACGAGGGAGTGCATTGAGAATGATGAGGCGGAGGATAAGGAGCAAAGATGCGGAGGATTGGGAAGGCGGGGGGAGGAGGAGTGATGGGGGTGGGCAGGGAATCATGGGGGCTCCTCCTCCTTCTTGTCGGTCGTGGGACCCTCGTGCAGCCATCTCAGGCCTTGTGTGCCTGTATTGGAGTCCTCGTGGGGACCTCTTGTGGCCATCAGGGGGTTGTCTTGGACCGGTTCTGGAAACTCTTGGCCGTCTTGGGCTCTGAAGGCCCCTCTCGGCTGTCTTGGGGCAATCCCAAGCCATCTTGCGATTGTCCTGGCGCTCTTTTGGACGCTCTTTGGGTCCTCCAGGGCCCTCGTGGAGCCATGTTGAGCCGTGACAACTGAAAAAAAAAACGAGGCAACTCCTCGTGTGTTGACTGAATCTGATCGTTCGGGGACTCTCTGGGGCTCTTGTGTGGCCTCCCAGGGGCGAGTCGGGGTCCTCTTGGAATCGCTTGGTCCCTCCCCGAGTTGTCTGGGGACCCTTCTTGAGACATCTTGGCAGCCACTTCAGCCATGTTCGGGACTCCTGGGGCCATCTGGATACAGTTGTGGCGGGGAGGGGGCGCACAGCTCCCCCGCAGGGCCAGTGTCCGCACCAATTAAAGCGCGCGCTCCAGTTCTAGTCCTTTTCGGCTCTGCGATGCAGAGGTACACGTATCCATCTATACACCCTTCCTTTCATACACCAAAACAATCAAGCATCGATCCATGCATCCAAGCGCTCAAGCAGGGACGCATGTCAGAGTGAGGGGGCCGAACGGTCATTCACTGTTCCTGGGTGCGTGGCTGAAGTGGAGTTCTGCGGTGCGGATTCTCGTTGTTGTTGTTGTTGTTGTTGTTGTTGTTGTTGTTGTTGTTGTTGTTGTTTGTTGTTGTTGTTGTTGTTGTTGTTGTTGTTGTTGTTGTTGTTGTTGGTGTTGTTTGTTGTTGTTTGTTGTTGTTGTTGTTTGTTGCCGTCGTCCCACCCGCAACCCGCCCCGCGACCCACCCGCGACCCAACCCACGACCCACCCCGCGACCCACCCGCGACCCACCCGCGACCCACCCGCGACCCCCCCCCGCGACCCCCCCCGCGACCCACCCGCGACCCAACCCACGACCCACCCCGCGACCCACCCGCGACCCACCCGCGACCCACCCGCGACCCACCCCCGCGACCCCCCCCGCGACCCCCCCCGCGACCCACCCCGCGACCCACCCCGCCCACCCCGCGACCCACCCCGCGACCCACCCCGCGACCCACCCCGCGACCCACCCGCGACCCACCCCGCGACCCACCCCGCGACCCACCCCGCGACCCACCCGCGACACACCTTCGACCCAAACTACGTTGAAGGTACGAACCACCATTTTCGGCGCCTGCGGCGGGTTTTTTGTTGCATTCCTTCCAAGTGGAGAGCTCGCGACCCACCCCGTGACCAACTCGCGACAACCCGCGACCCAAACCACGTTCAGGGTACAAACCACATTTTTCGGCGCCTGCGGCGGGCATCTCTTGCATTCGTTTCAGGTGGAGAGCCCGCGGCCCATCCGCGACCACGTTCAGGGTACGAACTGCATTTTTCGGCGCCTGCGGCGGGCATCTTTTGCATTCGTTCCCGGTGGAGAACCCGCGGCCCACCCGCGACTCAAACCACGTTCAGTGTACAAACCAATTTTTGTTGGCGCCTGCGGCGGGCTGCTTTTGCATTCCTTCCAGGTGGAGGTGGAGAGCCCGCGACCCACCCGCGACCTAAACCACGTTCACTGAACAAACCAATGCCGCACAAGCGCGGCGGCGGATTTTCGCATGCTGTCTGAGCCCGCAAGGACCTCTTCAAGCCCCGCGCATCCACACCAGCCCGTCCAGCAACGTTGCCCTGGCGAGTTGCCTTGATCAGAGAAGGCGGGGAGCATGAAGTGGAAAAAAGACTGCGTTGCAGTTATCTTGGGAAAGGAGGGGGAGGCAGGAGGAGTAAACAGGGGACGAGGAGAACGCGGAAGAAGAGAGGATGTGATAATAATGTGGAGAGAGCAGAGGAGGAGCAGGAGGACGAGGAGGGGGAGGAGGGGGAGGAGGGGAAGGAGGAGGACGAGGAGGGGGAGGAGGGGGAGGATGATGATGATGGACGACAATGGGAGGACGATGATGGAGGCCGATGAGGGGGAGGACGACAATGGGAGGACGATGATGAAAGGACGAGGGGGGGAGAGGGAGGACGAGGAAGAAGAGGAGGAGGAGGACGAGGTGGAGGAGGAGGATGACGATGACGATGAGGACGAGGACGAGGAAGAGGAGGAGGAGGAGGAGGAGGGGGAGGAGGAGGAGGAGGAGGAGGAGGAGATCGCCATCGACAGGGAAGGTGGGGGCCACGAGGTCCGCCGGCTCGACGACGCCCGCGTCGCCCGTGCCCGCCCCCTCACTCTTATCCGCAATTGCGGGGTGCTACGTATTCATTTGGTTAACCAGAACAACGCACGTCTCCACCCATCCAACAATCCATTCTGCCATCCTCACAAGCATCCATATACTCAAACATCCATAAACATACATCGTTTACCCATAGGTAACATTGCATATGCAAAAAAGAACTCTCCAGACAGCGCTCGCACGAAGACATTATGACTTCTTTCCCCACGCAGTTGACTGGCAAGCTGGAACTTCGTCTGGTGCCCACTCGTCGCTGTCTCGTCGCCGCCGCGTGCGCCGGCTGGGTTCGGCAAATCGTCTCCCGATGCCCACGTGCGCCGCAACGTCGACGCCATGTGCTCTGGCTGGGTGCCAAGGTTTCGGGTAGTGCCCGCCCGTCGCCGCCTTGACGCCGCCTCCAGCGCTGGCTGAGCTTGCGGGGTTATCGCTCGGTGCCTGCCCGTCGCTACCCTGAGACTGCACTCGATAGATTGCACAGCGTATCTTGCGTCCCATGGATTCTCCTTTATACCGAAGAATAAACTCTACTCCCCTGGAGGCCTGGGTTAGCGACCTCTCTCCGACCATTGGCTGATGCATGATCATCCACCCTAAACATGAACTCTGACCGTCCCAGTCAGTCCACTTATCGATCGCCCCTCGCCCCTGCCAACAAATAGTATGCAGAGAACCCGCTTTGATCTTACACATCGTGTCTCAATGCATCTATACCAAAGAATACCATGCGGGCCACACGCGCACGCTTATCTTCATTCAATGCAAGACCATTTACTCTCAAAAGAGCGTGAACTCAAACTACCACGCCACACATGCTGTTCAACAGGAACGGCCAGATTTCTGCGTGCGAACTTGCAAACATCATACGTTGCTTATGTGTCGCATGTGTTGTCCCTTCTGTCAATGGGGACCCATGCAAGCGCATGTCAATGATGTCGGCCAACTCTGTCAAACAAGCCAATGCGGGCCACACGCGCGCGTCCCCGCGCATTCTCAACACCATGGTCAATATCAACTCGCAACTGTCATCGCTGCCAACGTCATCGCCACCCGCACCTTCATCACCAACACATCGTCACCATTACAGATCATGACCGCCACCGTCATCACCGCCATCACCAGTGTCATCAAACTCGGCACCAACGCCAGCACCATCACAATAATTATCGTCGCCGTTGCTGGTGTCGCCCGCCAGCCCCGGCATCATTCCCCCGCTCGAGCCGCTCGACTCATCCCTCTGCATGAGAAGTGTCTTCGTGCCAGTCCACTGTGCGGGTGTTGCCAACAAGTTGTAGGCGGGCGGATGGGAAGATCGCTCGAGCTTCGGAGTTTGCGACCTCCACACTGTCAAGGTACTTTGCGCCAAGTAGACTGCATCACATATTGTGCACAGTGGCCACACAACTTGGACCACACAAGTGATCTGTTCATCTTAAAAGATCATTGCTCAATAACCCATTGTCAAAAACGACACAACGTCCACACGCGCGCGCTCATGACGAATCCATAACAGCATCGTAGCCCTGCACGTGTTCCCACACAAAGAGGCAAGACACACATATAGATATTCCAGGATAAACCTTGCAACATTTCTGTCTGCGCGAACTTGCTGAATCCGTAAGGAAGCCATATGAACTAAACAATCTCGTCCAACACCTGCATTATCATCCCATCTGGCATCCGCCCAGCCCACGAGAGCCCGGATCAAATCTACCGACCCTGTCGGCGTGTGCGAGACGTGTTTCCGTTCGAGTCGCTGTCGCCACTCTCCCCCGTTCCCTGGGCCCTCATTTTTCCCAATCATCCTGTGGTGTTGAGTCCTCGTTTTGAAAAAAACGGTCCCCGCGTTCTCCTCCTCCTCCTCCGCCTTCTCCTCCTCCTCCCCCTCCTCCCTCCTCCCCCCTTTCCTTCCTCCCTGCGTTTCACCCACCCAGTACAGCGTTCCGTAGCCCCATCGGGGGCTCCACCGAAGGCCCCAGTGGCAGGGTTCGCATGGCGGCCCCG